GTAGATAAGTGGTCTCAACCCAAATGTGCCACAAGCCATACAATATCTCCTTTAGAAGCTTTAAAATATGTTTACTACCATTTATCAATTTATGACCGGGTTATTGCCAGTAATGTGTTGACAAATCATTGAAAATAACCTCAGAAGTGTTCAGTGTTCAGTCCCATCAATTGAAAAGATCTGATAGAAACAGTGTATTTGAAATAAAATTTTAATCAAAATCCCAAACCAAAGAGTCTTTACGTTTGCTTTTGGAACCATAAGGTGGACGAACCTGGTGAAGCTAACCGCATAGCACAATATATTTCCTACATGCTATAGATTTGTCCAATAAAAGCTTTTCTACTTTATTTTTAACATAATTTTAATGCCTTTACTGCAGTTTCTGTGGAATCGTTTATTTACTTTCTGAAAGAAAAATTCAGAACTATACTGAGAATCAAAGAACTATAGTGTGAATATATAGTTTCTAAATTCATCAAAATTTTTGTCTAAAACGTCAAGACACTTAAAGCCCTACAATTTTTTTTAATAGATGTCAACTTCGTTAAACTTACAACAGTATAAGTCCATTTCTTTACAGTCTTAGCATTTTAAGTGTTTTATTTTGTTTAAAAAAGTTTGCTGTGTGCATTTTAATGACATTAACCTCAAAATAATTTTTTTAAATATTAAAAAAAAAGACAATAAAATTATTTGCAATTTAATATTTTTTATTTTTTATTCAAAACACGTAAGACGAGTTCGACAATTGCTACCTTTTTTTTAATTTTAATAAACAAATACATTAAAGAAAAAATTTAAATAATATTTTTAATTGATCTCTTACATTCAATTAATATTTGAAAACTTATTTCAAAATAATAATTGTTCATATTTTTCTTTTTAATTAAGTAAAATAGTTTCCTGATCAATCAGCACCAACTCTTCAATGTTTGTTTTGATAATTAGTGTATCTTTAGATTTATTGGTCTAATTTTAAACAAATAGTTTTTAAAGATAAGATAGTTAGTTAGTTGAAGTGGAGGGAGGAACGAATCCTCCTCAATTAGCTAATAAAACCGTTTTGAATAGACAATTTCTCGAACCAGCCAAAAGTCATTTCTAGTTGTAAAGGCGAAAGTCTGGCCAATTCTAATACTCGAGTTTGTTAAAGAAGGGAACCCCCAAAAACCTAAGCATGGTTCTGGCCAGGTCTGGATATAGACATCTGTTGTGTGTTCTGGTATCCTTTCTTCGTTGATAGAGGATAGAGATGCGTTGCAGGTAATACCACAAGGTAGACCGAGTCTAGCTCCATGCCGTCCTATGATTAAGTATCCTGTAAAAACAGATATTAACGCAGAAATCTCTAATTTGCTTCTATGTATCAAGTCAGAGGTTCCGCATTTGGAGTAGATTGACTATGTACTGCTGAGGTTGTATTGGCCCACTCACTATTATCCTGTCTATTGGATGTACCTTAATTAAGCTTATCATACACCACAATATACTAGCGGTTGAATAAAATAAATCAATTGATAAAGAATTGATAAAGAATCAGATTAAAAGATGAAAAACGAAAGATTATTGGCTAATAAGACTAGAACACAGCAAAAATGATTTGTTGAAAAATATATGTAACATATATCAAATTGACTGAAGAATGATTAGATTAATTATGAAGAAATAAATAAATGCAGAGCTACATCTAGATTTATGTATTCCAATATATCAGTGCTCCTACTGATTAGAATACTATATAACCTGTATTTAAGCAATATATAACTTGTTTTATATGCAATAGATGCAAAATAGATCTATTTATATCGGAGTGACTTTTCTGGCCTTAAATAATTGACTTTCAATGATAGTTAAATGGACTCATGAAGATGGCATTAGTGCAAGCAAAACAGCTTAAATCAAAAACAAAGCATAGACTTACTTAGAGAATTACAATTTTGAACCTATATCAATAAAACATAACTTTTTAAATCCAATCTAATTAAATATAATAAATAAGTAAACAAAAAAAACTGTATAATTCAACTTCTTTTATTTATTTTAATAAAAGTTTTCTTTTTAATTTTCGACTCTTTCCTTAAATACTTAGTATATTGAATGTTTAACGTGAATCATGTCCGGTTCGCTTGGTTTATAGACTGATGAAGATTCTATATTAAAAACATATTCTAAACACATCACCTTCATTTTATTTTTTCTTATTAGATTTGAGATGTCTTGCCTGCAATAATGTGATTTTCATCAGTCTATTTAGTGGAATTGCTAAAATTCAGGTTATGTTTAATATATAAATATGAAGCAGCACCTTAAATTTTCTAAGGTGCTGCTTCAGATTTCTCTAGATCTAGCTCTACAATTATTTGCCTCTTCATAATTAAACTAGTCATTCTTCAGGCGATATGTTATGTATGACATATTATGTCTTTTTCAATTTGTATATTTCTTTCTGTGCCTTACAGTCTTTTTCTTCATCTTTTAACATGATTCTTTATAGTTAGTTAATTCAACCTACTTACCGCCAAATATGTTGTCGTATATGATTAACTCCATTCAATTAAAAAAAAGTTTATTAATAAAACTGTTTAAAGAAGAAATTTTTTAATTTTGACTTAAAAAGGTGGAATACTTTTTGACCAACCTAATACAAGATAAAGCCAATTCTTATTAAATTTAACTGAATCACGAGCATTTTAAGAATTAACTGCTCACAAATAGATAAAAATGTATATTTAATATTTATTATATATGTATGAGTAAATAGATTTTGTATGTAAACTATACTTTATTTTGAGAAACGAAATCGTAATGGCAAACTCAAAAATCGTCACAGCACATATACCTAAATATCAAAGTATCTTGTATCTCGAAAAACATGCATAAATTTTATGTAGTTTGTTAAACAGGCATAAATCAATTCCTTTGAATTCATTAACATATGATTTAGCACCTCATTAAGGAGTTTTGCCTCATAAATATGCAAACTTCAATAGGAAATTATTAATTAGAAGCACTGAGAGCTGCTGTATAACAGCTAACGGCAGACATAGAGGCGAGTTCAGGTGGGAAACTACAAGATACATTACTTTCATAAACGTATGTATTTACATATTTAAGCTACAAGATTAGTTATGGGGAACCTCAACCGATAATCGGAAGAATAAACAAGTTAATTTAATTTGCTCTTGTTGTTGTAATCATTATCGTTTATTTATTTTTGTTTATATAATTTTGCAAAAAAATTTTGTTTTTTACAATTTATGCTTTTTCAATTAATTTATTATCATAATTAATTAATAAAAAGCCATCATAAAATCGAATACGCCATCCCGCAATAAAGAAAATTATTTTACGCAATAAAGCAATTATGGGTCCCCCAGCTCCCAGCTATATTGACTTCTCACTATTGTCAGCTATGGGTGTACTTTGAGTAGAGGGAAAGAGAGAAAAAAAGAAGACATAAGAAGAAGGAAAAAAACACTTTGAATGAATGGAAGTTAAAACATAAAAGGCAAACAATTATTGATAAAAAATTAATTTTTTTATTTTTTTTCTATAAAACCGCAAAGTGAACGGTTGACACATAAAGTCAGCAGTGGTTTACAAATACAAAGAGTGCAGATAAAAGCATTTCATTTCATTTCTTTTTTTCGGTAAAGAAAACAGTTGTTGCAACACCAACAAAACACAACTTACGCACCCATGCCATCATCGCACCAACAGTCACTTCCAATCTTATCATGGGCTGGTGTGTAATGCTGCACCATACCCCCCACTATAGACGCCAAGATAAGAACTGAACGACTAAGCAGTGGAGACAACAGCAATCGCGCAATACTCGTAAACAACAATGAAAATATTTGTTTTAAGTTTCCATCATTCAATCTCGCTACTGTGACTGTGACTGTGATTGTAATTGGGTGATGGAAATGGGAATAGGAATGGGAATGGGACTGAGAGTGGAAGTGGAAGTGGGAGTGGGAGTGGGAGTGTGGATGTGAGTATACAATGAGCGCAAATAGACAGATTTACCAAGGTATGAGTACTACATATAATTTCTCTTGTACTTATCAGTTTCCAAGGTTGCCCAAAACAATGAGAACTGTAAATTTTTCTATAAGCAAGTCTTCCCCGCCAACAGATAAGAATTGAATTGGTTACTCTGCAATTATTAGGAGCTTATTAGGAGTAGAAGTGCGATGATTTGTTATTTCTGCTCATTAATTAATATTAATTATGATTCAATAACAACTGTTTTATATCAAACAGTGAGCACGAGGACTGATTGCTTAATAGCAATCAGAATTGAACGTTTAAATTGGAGAGATTAGAAGATCAGCTGATTGGAGAAGTATGTGATTTAACCACGAGTTTGATGGAAAACACTGATTGTCGACACTGACATGACATTATACTTTTGTTATATACTTATGTATATATAATTGTTATTATAATATATTTATACATATTTACAATTATAGTTATAACATATAAATATATACACATAGTGTACTTCAAGAAATAAATGATTTAAATTTATATTTACATGTACATATAGGTATAGCTTTGTTAGACACACGATTCCTACTGCACAACTTATAATTAAAAATATTTTGAAAAAAAAATGTTGAATATGCAATTTGCACTATAACAGACGGGATAGAAAAGATCTAACCTTTATCTATTTAAGAGCTATATTTAGTATATTATCAATTTCTACAAAAAATAAAAGAAATACTGTTTTAAGTTTTATATTCTTGTGATAAACTAAAAGTTGTGTTTAAACTTTGTACCAAGACCCCCATATTCCACCAGGGTGTGTTTCTCAGTTTATCCCTGATAATATATATACCAAAAATTTTCATTAGTTTACTATAATACTATAATACAGTTTTCTACGATATTCAAAAATCACAACTAACACATCCGGATCAATAAATATAATATAGATATATGTATTTTTAAACTGTTTCATGTTTGTAGCGTTTATATATACATACCACGATGTATTGGTTGTATATACACATTTTTGGCTGTTAACACAGAGGTTAAAGCTGAAGCTGAAAGAAGTAAAATGAATTGATTAATCTCAAGTATTTGTTATACGACTTGCCTTTTCGAGGCTTGGCTACGAAATAATGGAATAAAGGTAATGCTCTATGATAATTTGATATTCTTAACATAATATGTTGTTAATTCAACAACTATATATTCATGATTTCGGTAATTATATTTGATTGATTTCTGTATTAAGAGAGAATGAGAATACTTCAACGATGTTGAAAGAAACGTTTATTAACACTGACATAGGTAGTTATATCTAATCAATTCTAAGAAACACTATACAAATTTTGGCCTTTTCTCAATTTTTAATATCTATTTGTTGTTTCTGCAAACTTGTCCACGTAAGATTATGATATTCTTATTTCATTAAGATAGTCATAGAGTAAATCATAGTTTTATTTTGAGTTTAGTCAGACATTTAAATAACTTCAGTAATACCTATATTGCAATTCTTACTATGTAATCGAATGCTTTTTAAGTCGTATAATAAATAAGTAAGCAAATGGCGTACTTAGTTTCGATTAAAATAGAAAAAATTATACCAAAGATCTATATAGATGGGCTATTATTTACCTAAACACGTATAGATATAAAAAAGAGGGTTTATCTAGACTGAGGAACCCTTAGTAATAACATTCTTTTTAACTAAGCCGATAAAGCAGACTTTCTAATGGAATATTTCGCTACCAGCAAGTAACACTACTCTGAACTCATAAAATTTAAATGGAAACTTACACGCTAAGCTCTGACGTCTTTTCAGCTGCTAATTGAGCTTAAATACGATACATTCTTTTGTTTGCTCTAACAGCAGATGATCGTTTAGCATATAAAACAGACTGAAAGAACCTTTGTGCGGAGGGCACGCGAACTCGGAATTAGCACATCAAAGCCGTAAATTAAATACATTTTATATTAGATCGAAAGTAAGGAAATGGATTGTTTGGCACTTAATCTTTTTATAATAAAATCGAGCAAACATTGAAAAGAAATTTTCTGTTCACGTAAACGATATATGATCTGAAAGAGATACTTGTGTGATGATCACATTTTGAAAAACAAAAAACCAAAAACAAAAAAAAATAAAAAATAAAAAATAAAAATTTCGAACACAAAAAACAATGTAGACTCCATAGAGAATTCGTCATTCCGGGCATGAATCATCGAGTGGAGATGCTATGAGTGAAGCCAATTCCGTTTTCTTTATTTATTGAATTTGGCAAATTCTGTTCTGTTGGATGTCGTCATTTCTTATTTACTTGGAAGCGTCGCTTAAGGTGAGATTTCCAAAGCAAAGCTAACTTCCGACGTTAACCGGAAGTTGAAATCGGTTATTCGGTACAATGAAGAGGTGTGTCTGTCATATTGATTTAAGGTTTGTGAAAATATTTTAAGGGTTCAATATACTTGCTTTATTGTGCTTGACTTGCTTTAAGAGAACCGGAAAGAAAGAAAGAAAGACAAATATTGTCTGGTGACTTTTTCATTATAAAACTGGAACCAACATTCAAAATTTCTATGGAATTAAACAATATTTTGAATTTTGAATTTTTTGGAGTGTATTTAAATTTTTTTTTCGATCGAAAACTAGTGAAACGAGAACATCAATAGTGTAAAAAATGCTCACTGTTTTGAGAGAAATTTCCATATAGAAGGAAATTCTACTCAAGCAAAGACATCTAAAAATTATAATTAATATGACAAGTGTAATGTATAAAAAATAATTAAATAAATATTTAAAATATAATTTATAATCCATTCAGACATTTTATGTTTCATAATTTTTATTTTAACGAAATTTCAGACAAGGTCAAGACTTTGGAAATTCAAATATTGTATTGTATTAGATATATAAGTAAAAATATATAATTATATATATATATGTTTATATACTTTATTTATCTTTTGTTAAAATAAATGAAACTGAATTGATCAAGTACGCGTTCCACTTGTTTCTGATATGTAAACAAAAATGTAAGTTTATTGAACTGCTGTAGAGAGTTCTCAAATGTTGAAACAAAAAAATATGATTTATAACTTCACATAAATTAAAACCTGTTTAAATATATAGAATTTTTTATATAAGAACAAAACAAACGATAAATTCATCTCTCGCATTACAATTATAAATACTCGTGACCGAACATCTTCTACTTATCTAGCTGTTACTCCCCGAGATATACTCGCATGTTTATTGCTTATATTTATTTCTACAGTACATTCTGGCAGCTCTGTAAATAATGTCTCTGTTACTACTGCATAATAAAAACTACAACTGGAAGTCTTAAAGACTAATCACCACATTAAGTCTTACAGACTAAAGCGGTAGTGAATTAATTAATTAAAAATAATTAATTATTATAATTTACTGCTGCTTAGAACCTACAAATTCTTCCTCATATTTGAAAAAATATATTGTTTATACATAATACTAGTACAACTTCTCCGTATTATTAGGCACCTAAATAAGAATTTATATACAAAAAATTAAAAAATATATATAAAAACAATGTCTACATAAAGGGAATAGAACTGCTATAAATAATTATTTCAATTATTGTATAATTTTGGTTCATGCTTTAGTCTTATATAACACGAAAAAGGATGTCAAAAAACCATATCATAGTTAGAACTTGACAGACTTCCCTATCGAAGTCTTGAGTCAGTAGGCACCGTCTTAGTTCAAAACCGGGTAATTGCATTATAAAAAATAATGTACATACAATTAAATCCAAAAAGTATTTCCAAAAATCATAAACGCATTGACAAATGGTTCTGAAAATGATCGTATTCTATATAATATTTTAATGTATATTTTTCTGAGAGACTTAAAATAATATAGCGGCAGTTATACTTGCCATACAGCATCCACTTACCTATTTCATTTAACTACATTCTCATAAACAATCATCTCTCTTAACTCTTATCTCTCTTATATGTTTCCAATCCCCACTTTTTGATATACATTTTTGATATAAGTTACATTCTATTAATAGTACTATTATCTTAACTAGACAAATTAATAATCCCGGCAGTAGCCGCTTAAGAAAACTAAGTCTAAAATAAGTTTACTTCATATATTGCTATTGACGTATCTTGTTAGGGAACCGATCAATAGCTAGTAGTATTTCTGTGTAAAATATGTTAGAATTTTCCGACACATAGTCGATTGAAATAATATATTAGAAGACGTCAAAAAATTCTTAAAAATAATATAATACTTCACATTGTTACTAATATTTTCCAATATTGTCTTCTTTAAGCTCCAACTTGTTTTTGTCAATTAAAATCAATAATGTGGACATAACTCAATCACATTCTGTGAAATATCTGCGAAAATATCGTTTAGATAGAAGACTCACGTGGACAACAAGTCATATTGAAGCCAAAAAATGCCAATTACATAAATCTTCTAAATCACAATTCTAAACTCAGTCTCGATAACCAATTGTTAATTTACAAATTAATATTAAAGCCAATTTGGACCTATGGTATAGAACTGTGATGTTTAGCGTGTAACACAAACAGAGAAAACATCCAGAGAGTACAAAATAAAATTCTCCGACAAGTTATGTGCGCTGTATGGTATGTCAAAAACAAAAACCTTTACAAAGATCTAAATCTACTAACTCTTGAAGAAGTTATTTATCAATATACACCTTAATTTCGAGAGAAAGACTCCAGACGCATGCAAATCCTCATGTTCGACACTCATCTTCTGCAACTGCACTAAACCATCTTCAAAGAAAATCATTGATAAATATGAATACCCTAACTCATTGGCATACATGTCAGTTTTTTAAGATTCCCAAAATTATTGTCAATTTCTATTTAAATAAATAATAAAAACTTGTCTTTGGCTTCTTGTCCAACTCCACAACCACGACTGTGTCGTCAAATAGCTGTTCTGATGGTAAAACTTTTTTAATGACATAATTTTTGTTCCAATCATTTTTCACCTTACTTAAGTCTTCAATATAAGCCTTTGTAGCGTCAACTAATTGTTCTCTGATAATTAATCTATTTTCTCTTCACAACCTTTGCTCCAATTATTTCCAACTTAAATCAATATACAAACTCTGTGTCGCCTATTAACCATTCTTTGATAGAGAATCTTCTTCTTTGCTACAACTTTTGATCTCACGATTTTCCAACCCACAACTATCTATGACGTCAACTTTAATTATATTACGGTATAGGATCTCTTTTTTTTCGACACAACTGTTGATCCAAAGATTTTCCAACTTGTAAAAATCTTGAATACAATGATCTGTTATTTTGAATCTTATTGTTTTGCGGTTATCTTTAGATTGTCCAATTCCTTTAAACCTGTAATATAAGGATCTGTTATGTCGAATTCAATTGCTCTACGGTATATAATCTCTTACATCAAGACAACTTTAAAGCGATCCGTTCTCCTACTTGTTCAACTCTTCAGTATCAGTTTCTGTATCTGTCGATTAGCTGCTCTCTAGAGGTAAAGCGCTGACCATCGCAATCACTTTGTAAGATATGGAAATGTGGACTTTATTTTTTTGGTTTTGTTGCTTTCAAAAATTAAAAACAACTGCAGATAGTCTTAGAAACCAAAATGTGGTAATCATCGGGGCAATTTCGCTACAAGTTTTGCACTTTAAATGTTTTGCAATTAGTTTAACTGAGGCGCTACAATCTTTTCACAATTTTGTGCTAGCAATCTTCATGTCTTTTTTCTCTTTTGTGTATTTTTGTTTTCACTTAGCAGTGTAGTAAAACTGCAGTAAAATTGGCAAAAATTAAATTTTGCATTTGTTCAAATTGCGAAAAAAAAAGTGAAAAATAAAAATATAAAAAAAAACTTCAAAAATTAATTATCAGAAAACTAAGTAATTTCTTATCTAATTGCAAACAATTTATGGCTTAACTAATTACAGGCAATTAGACTTAAAATGCATTATTTTCCACAATTTTAATTTGCTAGAGTTGAGATGCACGAGCAGTTCGAAATACAATAATTAAAATTCTTAACACGTTCTGAAGCGCGCAGATACGAATAAACAAGCAATTTTTTCACGAGTTACATAAATTTTGTTGTGTGAATATTAAGTAAAAAAAAATCATAATAACGAAAAAAACAACTTCAGATATTTATATGTCGAATGGGAAAATACTTGCACCTATGGACGGCTTCGGCTTTTGAAGGTGCTTTGGAGGAAGTAAAATCGTGTTTTTTTTTCAATATCAAAGTCGGAAGTGAGTAGCGAGTTAGCATATTTAATTCCTTTTTTTCACACATTTAGAAAAACAAAAACAACAAAAACAACAAAAACAACAAAAAATAATTTTAGAAAGTTAATTGCAATGATTTATAGATTCTTCTTAATTTATGGCGCTAACCTTTAGACGAGCTAAGCAACATGGAGCGATCAACGCTAACCAAAACCAAACCGTGCGAGAAACAATCGCTGAAAGCATTTGAATTGCAAAATTTATATCATCATGTGAGAAATTTTACAATCATTTACCTTTACATACATTCATTATAATGTATATGTACATAGGTATACATATGCATATTGTCAATGCGAATTGTATCTGTTATTCTTTTCAAGTAAGCTTTCCAGACTGCACACCTACTCTAACTCCATAGCTGAAATATTTATTGCGCCATTTATTTAAAATTATTGTACAAAAATAATAGACAAAACCAAAAAAAAAAAAAATTCAAATAGACAGATGAACAGACAAATAGACAGATGGAGAGATAGATAAACTGATCAGCGAAAGATTTTTATTCTTACTACGACACAAGCGGTACAATAGCAATTCACTAAAGTATCTATATCTGTCTGGGATTGTTGCGGATCTTTAATGAATAAAATTACTGCATTTTACTTTGATGTGACATTGCATGCATCTCGACTCACGATGCAGAGGTGCAGAATTTGTGACAATAAGTATTGTATTTGGTGTCTTGGGAAATTTTCATCTACAATGCACATAGCCATATATAATAAAGCATACAAGCATCAATCGGCATCACTCTCATTTAGTATAAAAGTCTAAACACATAAAATCACATAGCTTTTGAGATGTGCATCTATCATCTATGAATATTACTTTAAAACAGCATAAACAGAAATTGTCTCTAAAATACTCTATATGAACTGCTCTTCAAAATTCAACACATACACACTAAAGTACCCGTTCGACATTTTCCATTTCACTACATTCTCACTATTATCGAACCTCTAGCATACGTGTATTTTTATATAAATATTGTATGGATTTTGTATAAAAAATAGCACAAGTCGTTGCATAGTCTGTAAATATCAGGAATGGTTCCTTAACCATGCGAAAAATATTGTACATGAGGGGAATACATTTTTAACATGAACCAAGACATAAACAATAGTGTCAAATAGAACAATAGTTACCCGATAAAAAAAACTTTAGCTTATTCCATATATATATATATACATATATAAATCTGAACTAACCCAAATAAAATTTCAACTATATATTTAAAACATTATCAGAAACATTATCATTTACTTTATTTTAATTCATCTATAAGCAATCCATATCTTGCTCAACACACTCCAAAAACCTGTGTGGAATTTATTTATCTAAAGAAAAACTTAGAAACTAGTTCACGTTAAATCAGATAGGCAGATGTATTATTCTAGAGTGATTTATGATGCCAAACAGATTAAGAATATATGTAAATAATTATTTTATAGGATCTGATTTTTCTTTTTTACGCTACAGAAATTTTGACATACATATATGCATATGGGCACATATATGTTTATTTCTGATAATATATTTATATAAATTCCTAATAATTCCTTATATAAAGGAGCTCCAAGAAAACTAAAATCTTAATACCTTTCACACATACTAGTTATGTTATCTCTATAATTTTAAGATATATCTAAGCAATGAAATAACTTTGCATAATTTAATATGTACCACTTTTCATTTGAATATTAAAAACTAATAACTCAATTACTAGAATAAAAATAAACAAACATAAAAGTATTCAATAATTCAATGATGATTTAGTATAACGAATGCTATCTTTTTGTAACTCCATTATTAGCTCTAGCTAGCGAACGAAGGCCAAATCAAAAACTTTTTATAACGACTGACATTATATAGTGTGAAAACTCAACAATGAAGGATGTTGTAGATCTTGTAAATTTATTTTTTAGAAAGGTACGTGGCACTAACTTAGACTAAGCAAAAAATTTTATGGCATTATTTATAATAATCAGGCATACAGTATACAAGACTTGCGAATCCTGAAACGACACGGATCCAATTCTGTTTAAAAAGCCTTCACTGATCACATTAACATGTCAATTGAATTACTCAACCCTGAAGAAAAGGTCAGCATAACAGAATTAGTTGTTCTAAAAGTTAGACACACTAAAGCAGTAAATGCTTTTAGGACGAGCTAAATATAGTGGTACCGAATTTGATGACATTTTCGAGATAAAATTATTACAAAAAGCAATAAGACCCCAAAGAACAAGAATACAATATTAAGTAATTTTGGTTCAATATTTCTTGAAAATCTAATAATTAATGTGTTTAAGTTTTAAGTCCAAACATCTAATTGAAGTGAAAGGTAATGACCTAACGCCTAACTGCTGTCTCGTTTATTTTAATAAAAGTAGTACCGCTTAAATAAAATTTGGGAAATCTAAACAAAATTTGTTTTTTGTTAAAGCTACACTTAAAGGAAGTTAGATTTAACCGACTTCTTAAGCTTTCCTATGCAAACAGATGTAAAAATTATTTTATTGTTCAGGTGTTTAATATTAGACAGATTTTTTCTCTTTAGAAAAAGAGCTGCAAAATTTGATAAACAGAGTTTAAAAACCTTTGCACTTTTTGGAGTTATTGTAAAGAACCTGTAGAGTTTAGTGTTCTTTAAACTCTAAGCAGCAATGGTCTATATGGTGCACAAAATTTTGTGGGTTTTTTGTTATGTCCAAATTTTAAATGAAATATATACATAGGTATATACATACAACACGACTTTGAAAGATAGTCTCGGCTCTCATGACCAAATTTAAAGCGACAATTGGTTTTATTCTTAATCTCAGTTCTTTAATTTACATTGAAAGTAATAAAAATTTAGTTTTGACGTAACGTAATGGGCCCATTAGGCCCATGTTAGATAGAACAACATTTATTAACATTTTTGTTACTTAATTGAAATAAAAATCCTAATATAAATAGTGAAACAATGTAGGACTCTTTGAAAAAAGATAAGCAGAAATTTGCAAGAAACTTAAGTCATCCCTCTTGTTCAACCAATCTTGTTCCCAAACAATCGCCTCTTCTTTCACACTTCTTTAACTTAGTTATATCATGACCAATGCGTTCCTTTTTGAAATTCCTTTTTTATTATCTGCTTTATGGGTGTCTAGACCAACAAACTGTACGATAGAACGATAGAAGATAATCTGCTATTTCTTACTGAAAGTACTTGGAGAAAAAGATAATTGGTACTTTAAACCAATTATATCTTGACCAATGCGTTCCCTTTTGAAATTCCTTTTTTATTATCTGCTTTATGGGTGTCTAGACCAACAAAGTGTTTTTGAACGATAGAAGATAATCTGCTATTTCTCACTGAAAGTACTGGGAGAAAATGAAAATCTGAACTGATACTTCACTATATCAATATTTGACAATATAATGGTTTTTATGGGACTGTAATTTGAGACAATGGCGAAATCAAGTAGATTTCGCCATTGTAAAGGAGTGTTGTTATCTCTATGCTATAAGTAAGTACATATTGCTTGGTTCCAGAGACATGGAACAGTTTTGTATTGTATTTTTTTTTCCTTAAATAGAATTTCTAGTGCCGACAAGAGAACCCTTTTTTCAAAGTACACCATTTGAGAATGCGATTAACATAGCAAAAAGATTTCTTTATATTTTTCTTTTGTTATAGATATGTGTATATATAAAGATTATATTACATATATATTTATTTTAAAATATATATTTCATAAATATATACATATTCTTATTTACACGTTACTCATATGTATGTCTGCCATTTATTTCAACCTTATCAACTTTACCTTTAATTTGCTGCACATTCCGACATACATAAATACATATTTACTCGTGTCTCATTCTCATAAATTCCTCACATGAAAACTGACATGGAAACTAGTCATTTTTTTATTGTTATTGTTGTTCTTATTCTGTTTAAAATTATTGTTGTAATTGTACTTGTCATTTGTTTTGTTTTTGCATATTCCAAAAAGAAAAAATGAGCTGATATTTATATTGTTTGTGTGTAGCGTATATCTCTGCTTACGGCTCTGAATTCTTGTGAACAGACGACGATTTTTGTGTACTTTTTTAAACTTAAAACTTAGCATACAAACATTCAAACATCCAAAAAGCGAAAAAGCACCAATAACACAAACACACACACACATACATATACATATATGAATAGACAACAGTGAGGATGAGAATCAGTTTTTGATGAAAAGTTTTTAAAATAAAAAGTCATTAGAAATTACAGCTACGTTAAGAAATGTCTTCAGACATTGCTTTTGTACTTGTACTTACCTTTGCGCTTATTTCTCGTTGCTGTTGTTGTTCTCACCGCTGCTACTTCTTTTGCTGGCTCAATTTTGAAGATTTTATTTTTATTTTTGTTTTTGTTATTGTTATTGTTTTTATTTTTGTTTATAACCAAAAGAAAACAAAGCACAAATTTCTTATGCTTTTGAAGCTCAGTATTAGTGTTGTTGTTGTAGTGATGTATTTGCTGGTTAATTAGTGTATTAAGTTGTTGTTGTTGTTTGTGTTGTTGTTGCTAATTTACAACATTTGGGGCATAAAAAAAACAAAAAACTAACAGTGGCATTGAAATTAAAACCGTTTTTGGTTTTTTTTATTTTTTTTGTTTTTTTGGAAAGAGTTTTTGGGTAAAAGTTTAGTTGAACACTGACTTGAAGTAAATCTTATTTTACAAACTTTTTACTTTTGAATTTTATTTATTAAAATTATTATTATTATTTTTTATTTATTAAAGCTGAACTGAACTATTTTGTTCACCTTTAAGACACACGCTTCGACATGGAGTGGATTTTTTTATTTTACATAATTACAAAGGCAATATGTATATGAATTTCGTATGTACTTTTGTAGAGCAAACTAACAAACTTACGTTGGTGGTATTAACTCCATTACGGAACCGCTTTTTTTAGTTAACTCAGCTCTGCATGTGTTGCATTTGTGAAGACAACAGAATAATAATTACAAACTATTCCGAAATTATTTAATTATTGTAATTTGCAATGCAATTTGTTTCACTTACGAAGTGTGAATTTTTGTAAATGTGTTTTTATTTAATTCTCGATTTGATTTTAATAATTTTTGTTAAAAGCACGTATTTATTTCTTTTTGATTTCGTATTCCTTACCTTTTTTTTTTGTTTTTTTTTTGTTTTTTTTGTTGTACTCCTTTCTACCACTTTTTGGAACGCTAAAGCGATTTTATTTCTTTCACTTAATCTTCTTGATTTTTGATTTTTGTGATTGCGTATAAGAAATAAAAATATATAAAGCTCAAACCTTTGGGATTTCGTTTGATTCAATTTATTTTTGTTAAGACATTTAATAATTTAGCACGCAATTCAGAATAAACAAATTGAAATTAATTAATTCAAATCTTTTAAAACAAATTTTTAAACACGAGAACAATTTATAGAACCAACTAATCAAACAACCGTTTACTCACTCCACCTCGACACAGTGACTCGCGAGCACAGACTGATCGTTGCTGCCATTTCATTTTAATGCAAAAGCAGCAAAAGCAGCAAAAGCAGCAAAACCATTTGGATGTACTCAAATCGTTTTGCGGTCGCTGGTCGCTGAATGCTAAATGCTGAACGCTAAACGCTGCCTTTCATTGGGGAAGTGAGAGCAGTATTCACAGCACACTTTTTCATTCCTTCTTCTCCACTATTATTTTTTGCAATTAGGTAATTCGCCAGTTGGGCAATCAGGAATTGTTTCAAGGCACTACACATCGCAAGCTTCGGTACACATCGGTACCACTACTCATGACTTCATAGGTGCATATATGTTAACTGCTATGATGACGCAAACCAATATCAAACGACCAGCGACCATTAATGCCGAACTGTAAGCCCCGAATTGCAGTGACAGCAAAAAAGGAACAGATTTTATAGAGCAAAAATTAGCAGTTAAGCATTTTAGGAAAAAATGTTTATTATTTTGTTTAATAATTTTAACAATTTTTATATGAAATAATGCTGCTGGTTATGCTTTTGTTCTAATATAAACACAGCAAGTGCATTTGCTAATAAAACTTTCACAGCAAATTAACAAAAAGCTCCAGAAAAATGTGCGAACATAAAAGTCAAGGCTTTGGGTCAGTTGGTTAAGAAGTGCTGACTCTGAACTTCGCATTTGGCAGGGCACAAGTGCGATTGTTGGTACTTGCAATCTCCAAAAACTATTCACGAATAATTAAATACAAGAATTATTTGCAAGACCACAGATGATGGGTATTAGGCAATACTTGAAACAGCTTTTGGTCAGCCAAAAATTCAATTAATTAAAATAATATAAAATGAATTTTTGTTGTTGTAATTCACTACTATTCGAAAAAACACCTCTTTATGAAATAATAATTAAAATATGTTTATTCCGAACAACTAGAAATGTAACTTTAACTACTATCATAAGTACCATATTCCTATAATTCATATCACATATGCGCAGGTACGTAACGAGAAAGCAGGAAAAGGGGCCACAGAGTATAATTTTTGTAAATGACTGATTAGAGCATATTTTCAGTAAATTATTAAACTTTGAAATAATAAACCTTTTATTTGTAAGTTATTTCAACAATTCATTTTTAATAGTTTTTCCAAACCAAGAAATAGAACAAAAGCTTATTCCAAATGAAGAGGCGTTCAAATTTAATTATTACATAAGACTTCTCAAACATACACGTCCCCATACTCTAGCCATCCAACACGTTCCCTACTGTATATATAGCAGAAACGCTATATAGCTTAAGACGCATATCATGTATTCTTTGTGTGTGAAAGATGCAGCACAGTGAGGCATAGTCTGAGTGTCGTTTTTGAAAAGATGTTAACAACTTATAACCTTGAAGTTCGGGGAACAAACTTAACGTATCAACAAATGTGGTCACTACAGTAATGAAGAAGTAAAAACAAATCTAAAAACGCACCAAACCAATTAGCATTTAGTCAGACTATTTCACATAAGATTACCAAAAGACTCAGCACATGGAGGGAATTATTTACAGAATTCAAAACACGTGTGTTGGTTGTGCCAATTTAACCTAAGTATGCCAGATTACTAAGGACTATATGATCTACGCATCAAAACTTCCCAATCAAGTTTTGACACTTTGCCCCAGATGTGTATGGCACGGCATTATCATTATGGAACACAACTCCTTTTCTGTTGGGAAATTTTAGTTACTTTCCCTCGTTTCATTCAAGCGGACAATTCTGTTTCAATAATGCGAAACACTCAACATTAACTGGTCTGGTTATTCCAGGCCTGGAGGTTGTTTGTGGAGTATTATCAGTTGCATTGGGTCTTCTCGTTTTAAAGCTATTTTTTTCGCCCCTAACGATGTAGTGGATGTTTAGTGCCTCTGCTGCTTTCTACCAGAGTGTTGGTCTTACTTCAACTATTGCAGGATTGCATCAGCCTTTTCAAAACACTATTACAGAATGTATCTTACTAATTCAAAGTTAAAGTAATTCAAAATAGTAGGATCTGTTAAGACAACTAGGACTAGCACAAAAGTCCACTAGAGTTTGCGGTGCATAATATTCCCAACGTTATCATAATAACGATAATAATAATAATTAAATAGCGGAATTAAAATTCAAAATGATTTGTGAAACTCTTTATAAAATTCGTAATTACTTTATTAATTAATGTATCTATTAATTGCTTTATAGCTACAATAAAAAAATTTTCTAACAAGCAATTTCTTCGGTGTGATGACTTGAGTTTCTAATGATTCACCGCAAATATATATGTATATATACAAATTTCAATTAATTATTTTATTTATTAACAAACAAATATAAAATGCTATTAAAATTTATAATATAAACTGTAGTGATCGCAATAACCAAAGTTATAATTTTATTACCCACGACTCTCCAAATATTTGCCTTAAGTATGGATGAATAAATATTTTTATATTCAGAACGCATCAAAATTATGAGTTCGCCTAGCACAGCAAGGGGTTCGGCGTTATCAGGTGGAACAGACAGTAAATATTAATTGTTTGGCGCATTAAATACTTATTTATTTGTTTGGACTATATTTGATATAGTCATATATCCAAAAGCAAAAAAAAAAACAAATAAGCTAATGTATTGCAGATGGATCTGTGAATAATAATGCCACATGTTTCTTTATTGTCATTTGATAAGATGTATATGGAGTATGTCATACACACAGAATAAAGTCAAATAAATACTGAGATCAAGAAAAAAATTATTACGAAGACAATAGGACGCTTAGAGATCCATTTACAATTTGAGTATCATTGTGTAAGTAAGAGAGTTTCTAATTAATGCATTAATGGTTCAAATCGGAGTACTATATGAGGTCGTTTAGGTCTGTCCTATATAGGTATCTTACATAATTCGTCATAATAACTTGTTATCGTATTTGGGTCGACACAAATCTCCATTCTAGGCATCTTTGTAGCAGGCGCGACTTCTCTAGTGCCATAATGTGGGTAGTCCGAGTCACTGGGAAAGTATATAAATCTCTTACAAATGCACAAAACAGTAGATGATGAAAGCTTTTACATAATAGAAGATATGCATCTTTATTATCAATGGTTAACGAAGCCCTGATCAGGTCTTACCCATTTGAAAGAGTTTCTCCATCTATTGTGGTGATGCAAACTACTAAGTTGTATATTCACATTTTAATGTCGTGAATTACTTAATTCAGTGTGCACCTATTTTATTCTTAAGAATTTCAACAAATTTATGCGATAAATATTGTCACAAAAAACTCAAGTAACCCGAAATCTGCTTTCAGAATTCATATCTGCATATTTCAACTGAATTCGAACACAGAATAGATATTTCAATTTACATATTTCTTCTGTGACAGTACTAGACTCCGCACCTCTCAATCGTATAGGTGGTCTGTTTTGCATAGTCTGCATTAAAATTCCTTAAGCACCGATTTAACAGTACTACTTCGTGTCATCTACTGTCGTGATTCATTTCCATCCGTGAAGTATTCTAATCATGTAAACAAGCGTTCTGATGAAGAATTAAAAGTCTGTTCTTCGCATTTTATAGCTAAACAAAAAACAGATGCGATACATTAGCACATTTTAGATACGCGCTGAACGATTTGTTTACCTTGCTGGTTAGTGCGGCTGATGATGATGAAATGCCGCACGAGTACTACACTTCAGAGTCGGGCTACAATGATATAATGAGTTAAATGGAATCATCGACTACAAATAAACCATAAGCACGGGTTCAATTTGAGGAGGATGTTTGTTCAAGAGGTGCTGAATTGTAATTGATGTTTTGGTTGAAGTCTTGGACAACAAAAACACACAAAGTACTTTTCTTTTTACAGACTTACACGAAAATAAAAATTTTTTTTTTCAAATGAATGAAAATACTCGTCTAACTATATCAAAATTCATTTTTATTACCTCACGTTTATAAAAGTTAATGTTACGAATTAAATCAAATTGCAATCACACCAAGATTTCTTGATTGAAAGGAGTAAATGGAGATATATGCACTAGATTTGCTTCCTATTCTTATCATCGTTAGGGAATATGTTGCATCAATGAAAGAAGTACAGAACCTACTTTACAGAGTTTTATTGGAATATATATTTCCTGGAGCCTATTCCGTATGTGCATTAGCGCAGGATTTGTTTTCAAACTCACATAAAATAAAGTAGAAGGTGGAAGGTGGAAGGATTGCGTATAATACATAGACTATCGATTATAGTTAAGTACATTGAAGGTATTATAAATGGGAACAAATCTCACTTTAGGATGAAAACAATATTAATCTGATAATATATTTTACCCTCAATTTCTCTTGAGGCAAGAAAGAAAGAAAGAAAAACGACGTGGCAATCTACACAAATAGGTTCGGCTGTCAAATGGAAATATAATAAAGTACTTATGTATTGAATCCTTTAAAACTGTCCTGAAATTCATTTTTCTTAGAACCACTTTAAATGACGATAATTATATTACTTCCGAGATTTTGATGAAGAATCATCATTGTCAATTGCTGCAAAGTTAGTAAAATTTCCACTTAATTCAACTAGTATGCAAAAGAAAAGTTTTTCGCAATATCTTTGGTATTTTATGTCTTGATATTGACAAAAACATTAAAAAAAAATTAAGTGTTATCTTGTCTTCGTTGAGATTTTGACATGCCTAAACCAAGTCCTTAAGCTGCAGGCTCACAGGTTTACTCATCCGATGAGAATAGAAAACTATTGTCTTCACAAATAAATATGTAAAAAGGGGCAGTCTGATAGATTATATATTAAGGAATACTATGTCTTCGTTGTAGTGATCTACTTCAGAGTGAATCAACCATCGTTGATGTACGAAACTGTCAAATAAGACTTTATTTTTTTGTAGTAAAATATGGTATTTATAATTGATAAAAGACGAAGTTTCAGTTAGAATATTAGATAAGGGCTCTTTTGCACAATTTTCACACAAAATCGACAGAGCAATTACAAAGGACATCTTAAGTAAGAAAGTGCTGGAACCTACTTAAAGACTGTGTCTTAGAAAATCTAACCATGATTATAATATCGTTAATAAGTTAAATCTCATATTGGGTAGATAAATTTAAACCTCCCTAAAGCAGATACCGTCTTGCACATTAATTCTGTCCAGAGACTACATCTAATGTTCCACGAATTCCAAAACCTTTCTTATTTCGTATCTAAAAATGTAATCAATTTTTAACGCGAATTATTGATAGGAACATTATGTCGATGTTTTATTTCACAGATCCTATTTGATGAAATGGAAATAAATTAAAGTAGATAGTTACTGAAATTTCTTGAAAGTTACGAAAATTTTCCATCACACAAAGGATTATTATGGATATCATATTGGGATTTTGCTTCATAATTCTTATTCAAAAATGGAAAACAAATAAAAATAGACACCTAAAGTAATGGGTCTAAAATGCTTAAACATTTGTAAAGACTGGATCGTGGATCATAAAGTCATTAACAGCTGTGAGCCTGCCAGATTTGGGAGGAGAATTAAGAACTCTATTAAACAGATATCGTAAGAGTCAGTAATTTTTTTTGGTTAAGAAAACTGTATATTTGAAAAAAGGGTGTGCAAAATCAAAACTGAGACTGAGCAATAGGGTTGTTAATTTATGCCAAGAGAGTGTTTGTTAAAGAGAATATTCTCTATACTTCTGGTTTTTACCTTTTTTTGTCTAGTTTCTAGCTTACTATAAGGGATTGGTAGGGATTTCTATTGTTTTGTATCCATCTTCCTAGTATCTTAAGTGGATTTATTTCCTGTTTTCCACCTCTTGAACTTCTTGAACTGTCTAACTTCCGCTCGATCATACAGCTTGTAAAATTGATTTAAGATTTTATGTGCTAATTAAAATCATACCCCAGAGCGCCACAATAGTTCAGGAGCGGCATGCATCGATTGTTTACTAATTAATGAATTCATGTAAAATTAACAAAATATTTAGGAAAAAAATCTATACTGATTTATCCCACGAATGTTATCTGCTGACCACTGAAAACGTAATAAGCGCTTTATGAGTCTCCGGACATTTGAAATGATGTAGAAGTCGTAAAAAGTGTGAGTCTGAGCTCTGAGCAGCAAAAACTAAAAAGTTGTTAAACTCATTAAAAATTTAGAATGAAACAAAATAGCGACAAAGTCAATATATGACGGAAACAGAAAAAAATGTCAAATCGTTTTTTGCACGCTTCGACTACTGAAGTATCTAGATACGCTGAAATGTAGCTGAGCGCAGGCGAATGTAGCCGACTGCCCGCGGCGATCGCGCGATTGCGGTTAACATTGTAGCCTGTAATCACTTTCTGCCACGTTTAATTGTTGCTAAATTGCTAAATTGACACTTGCAATTTTAGTACTGCGATTTCACACGAAACTCAGTCAATAAATTAAACCCAGCCGAGGAATTTCGCATTGCATTTTATGCTCCAAGTAAAATGCGACGATGATCGCACGTCTCCGGACGTCTCCGGACGTCAGCGACTCGCAAGTTGTTGACAACTTCGAGGCATTTTATCTCGACAAATGTGCTTAAATATGTAAAATAGTTACTTATTCCAGTAGCAATTCAATTAAATTGCTGTCAATTTAAAAACAACAAACAATCACAATTATTGGTGGGGAATTTAATTTGATAATTCAATAAATGTCATGACGAAAGCAAAATTTATAAAGAAATGAAGTGCATTTCAGTTACGTTAAGTAAACCGTAAACTTAATATTTTATACATATAATATATATATATATACCTATATATATATATACCTATATATATATATATATACCTATATATATAATATAACAAATATACCTATATAAATATTTGGTATTGCAAATATGCCAAATAATTTAATTATTATTAATTATTTAAGTAAAAATTTAACATTTAGCTCACATTTCTGTAATAACACAATGGAGTTATCATGAAAGTTATTACTGAGTCGACGATTCGTCTGAACTCAATTCTGTAGAGAGCATCTGAGCTCCTGTACGTTTCAACGACTATAACTTATAATCCAAAAATGATTTAAATAAAATTAACTAACATATTGATATTAAATTAACACATATTATTTCAACAATTAGGATAACAATGGAAGTGAGTTGTAATTAAGTTCCCGAAAATCTTTAACACATCATATCTAAAATAATTATATCAGATATAGTAAATATCCGGTTCAAAAAACGAACTCTCTGTACAAATATTTAATATTTAATAAAATATATATATAATATTTTTTGGACATACATTTCTTTTTTGGAGTGTGTAACCCATTGTGATGATGGCATCTCAACATACCTCTTCATCAGGGAGACCTTTTTGGGACCACTTTCATATTACTTTGGGGAGATATCTGTTTTTCTTGGCTTCTTGCAATACTTTTTGCTTGCTTATAGCCTGCGTCGGCGCATCTCATGACAGCGTCCTAAGCATCTTCGCTTTGCAGCATTTTATTTACAATATTTTCTGCAGTGCATGCTCTGACATTACACTTGAGCGCAGACCTTTCACTGCGCCACTGTGAGCAGTGGAAAAACATGTGGTTGGCATCGTCTTCGTCAGCAGCACTGAATATACAACTGGCAGCTGTTGAACGTATTTACGAAAATAACCATGCCGTAACAGCATTTGGGTTGTGTAGTAGTTTATTTTTGCCAAATTTTCTGCTCTTTCATGCATTCATGTCAGGAATCAATTTTACTGTCCATCTGCCACGTGTCTCTGTACCCCATCGTTCATGCCAAAGCTGTAGGGTTTCTCTTCTAGCTTCTCCAGCTTCGTTGTTTTAGTTGTTTTGTGCCGTTGCCCAACTTTGTTTCCTTTCTCCAGCTAAGAGATCGATTGGTATGTCTGAAGCAATATGTCTAATGCACTGAAGTTTAGCGTCTTATCCATCAGGGTTTTCAGCAGGTAGTCCTAAAGTGTCGGGTTGTCGCTTTTTGTAGGTAGTAGAACGATATCTGCTGAACTGATGCTGCAACCAATCAACTAACAAACGCGAATAGCTGAAGTTACAAACCATTAGACTTATATTTTATAGAAACATATAAAACATTTGTGTAGAGTAGTACTTAGATTCTTAGATACGGACTCATGCATATAAAGTATATTCTATTCAATTATAGTCACTATGCTATAATGTTCGTAATAGTCTCGCCGGCATGAGATTTCAGTGATTTAGAGTCTCGGTTTGTGTGTTCTTTCCATAAACTGATAATTTTAGAAACGAAGAAAATTTTAAAAAATAGTAAAAACGAAAAAAAAAAATAAAACATCAGAATTTAATAAATAAAAATAAACAAAGTTGGCGACAAAAATTTAAAAAAAACAATATCCCTAAATTCAACTCTTAAAATTTTTATTTGAAATTATAAACTACAGAACGAACATCAGAGTTTGTTCATCGCATAAATATATTGTCATATATATTTTAATAACTCGTCTTTAATTGTACTTTCGTTTTAGAAATCAGAATACTATCTCCACGGCTGAATTGCTTTGTATAAGCAACTGTTTTTTGTAATCATTTGAGAACGGGTTCTATAGAAATTTTTAAAATGCCGACTGATTTGACCAAAGACCAATTAGATGCTTTTAAAATCGCTGTGGAGCAATATCAAGAGAATGGGACTGGCACAATTGCTACTAAAGACGTAGCAGCCTTTTTAGTGACTTTAGGATATGACGTACCTGACGAGGTACTAACCAACGCTCTTCACGAAATAGATCCTGATAACAGTGGTCTCATTGAAATGCATACTTTCCTTTCTATGGCCATAGCTAAGTTTCAGAGCTACGCGCGGGTCGAACAGATACAAAAGCTATTTGATATTTTAGACACCAATAAGGACGGCTATTTAACACCGCAAGAGATGCGTCGCGTAGCTGAGATCACTGGTTTTGATATAAGTGACGAAAAAATCAACGAAATGGTTCAAATCTTGGACGTGGATGGTGACGGTAAGGTAAGCTTTGAGGAATTTTCCACACTATTTAAACGCATGTAAACCTTCCTATAATTAATATAACCCATCCAAGTCCACAATTTAAAAAGACAGCAGACCACTTAACACCAGTAAGTATAAAAACTGTTTAGAATTATTCAAACTTAAACACTACTACTAAAGTCTATTATTTTATTTAATAGGGTCTGGTAATAACCAATAACGCATACAAAAAAACTGATATACACCAGCAAAGCCAAGCAAAGCCAAGTTAAAAAATCCAGCACCACTAACACAACGTTATCTAACTGAAGAAAACAAGCATTCCTATTCTTACAAAAAGCTACACCAGAAAGGGTTTCAATCATTCCTAGTATCCACACTCTAGCCAGAAAACATCTTTAAAAACTAAGTTAAAAACTAATTGAAAATTTATATGAAGAGCAAAAAAATAAAAAAATATATTTTTATAATTTGGCAAATTAAAGTTAAAAATTTATTAAATGTCAAAATATAATAAATAAAATAAACGTTAAAATTCTAAAATGTGAACAATTCAGTGTTGTATTTTAAAAGCTCTCAAGCTCACGCTACTAAAGCTTTCTTCCCCATGAAATGGCTCGAAAAGTTTTTGTTCGTAATGAAAAAGTTTTGCTGAAGTTTTTTGCGAAAGTTCCGGTTTCACCTGATAACCAAACCACCGTAACCGAGAAAGCTTTCTATTGCTTTCTAGAGCAGTTCAATTTTATTTTCAATTTTAATTATCTTTGCAACTACTGAGCCTAGCACTGAACGCCAATAAAAAATTAAAAATTATAATAATAAAAATATATGTGAGCAGTTTAATTATTATGTTGAGGCTAGTTGAGTCACTTAAGCATTTTTACTCTCTATCAACTGCATAGTTTCTTTATAACCCCTTTCAAAACCTTAACTGGATTATTGTTTATCACTTCATCGGACTAAGCAATAACTGACCTCAGCTCTGCATACCTCTCCGAGGAGCGTGTAATTATTCTGAGATTCGATAACGCGGTGTTGTTAAGCTTGTCAGTTTCCGTAAATAATTTCTGGGCTCTATAAGGGATAGAGCCCTTATAGATGTATTTTTTGATCGGATCAATCTTGCGGTCCCTGAGATTGTCATTCGTCCTAATGTACCACAGTACCTTGAAAAATCTTCTCAGACTCTGGCTTTGTGCAATTTTTAGCTGGTGAATGGTAGTGTGTGAGGCCTTGCTAAACGCTATACATCCATATAGAAGTGGCTGTCGAATTATTTGATTATGTAGCAGCTTCCTGTTCTTAGAATTGAGATTTTCAGTTTTGAATAGCGGTTGGAGGTGATGAAGAATTTTGGCACAGTTAATTCTTTTCAGTTGAACATTTTTAAGCCATGTGAATCGTTTGTCCACCTTGATGCCTAGATATTTTATGCTATCCTCCCAGTTTATTACCATATCTCCCACTCTCAGCTGCATTATTTTTATTGGTTTTAACTTCAGCCATCAATTCGTAAAGATGTGAAGTCATAGGTTCGTCTTTGTCAATGCTGTCAAAGAGCAAAGGTCAACAAACACACTAAACCAACTTCAATGTTCTTTCGAGAAACAAATCAACGATTTGATATGCTCTAACAATGACCGGTAGATGCAGTCGATGACCGGAAGTAACACCTCTCAAAGATATGGCAGCAGATACAGTGGCAGCAAGTTTCTTTGCCACCTGGGTTTCATGCTTCGGTGCAACTAAACTATTTACCAATCAAGGCACCTAGTTTAAAGCGTATTTGTTTCGAGCTCTCTCTTACCATCCAGCAGCACATCCAGATAATCCAGATAATCCAGATAAAACGATTCCATCGCACGCTTAAAACAGCTCTCATGGCCAGACTCCAACAAACATGGTTGCAGTTACTTCGATCAGTTCTATGGGCCCATAAGTCAGCATTAAAGAAGTCATGGCCACGTCAGCAGCAGAACTAGTTTATGGCACCGTGTTACGATTACCTGGCGAATTTTTCGTCGATAACGGTGATCCACTCAATCAGGAAAATATTTGAACCAATTTCGTAGATTGCAACAATTAAGACCCATCTCAACATGAGCAGACAATGAGCAGACAACAGAACCGTCATTCTTGGAGTTATTAAACAACCCAACTATAACGACGACATAGCAATAAAGTACGCACAGTAACTTTTGCTGAGCAAGACCATCAGCAAATTCATTAAAATAAAGCACGACGGGTTTCACCACAGTATTAGGTGCTTATTGAGGAGGAAGTGCTGTGACAAACACATTAACCAGCGCAACGCCATCTTGCGTGATGCAAACATCAAAATATAAACAGCAACTTACCTAATGGGACCACCGTCCATTATTATTTAGTGCGTCGTATTCTTATTTAATGTCAAAAATTGCAAAGATAATTAAAATTGAAAATAAAATTGAACTGCTCTAGAAAGCAATAGAAAGCTTTCTCGGTTACGGTGGTTTGGTTATCAGGTGAAACCGGAACTTTCGCAAAAAACTTCAGCAAAACTTTTTCATTACGAACAAAAACTTTTCGAGCCATTTCATGCGGAAGAAAGCTTTAGTTGTGTGAGCTTGAGAGCTTCTAAAATACAACACTGAATTGTTTACATTTTAGAATTTTAACGTTTATTTTATTTATTATATTTTGACATTTAATAAATTTTTAACTTTAATTTGCCAAATTATAAAAATATATTTTTTTATTTTTTTGCTCTTCATATAAATTTTCAATTAGTTTTTAGGTTAGTTTTTAAAGATGTTTTCTGGCTAGAGTTTGGTGTAGCTTTTTGTAAGAATAGGAATACTTGTTTTCTTTAGTTAGATAACGTTGTGCTAGTGGTGCTTGATTTTTTTTACTTGGCTTTGCTTGGCTTTGCTGGTGTATATCAGTTTTTTTGTATGCGTTATTGGTTATTACCAGACCCTATTAAGTAAAATAATAGACTTTAGTAGAAGTGTTTAAGTTTGAATAATTCTAAACAGTTTTTATACTTATTGGTGTTAAGTGGTCTGCTGTCTTTTTAAATTGTAGACTTGGATGGGTTATATGTGTTTAAAAAGTGTGGCGAACTCATCAAAGTTCACTTTACCATCTCCGTCAATATCTAGAGTTTCGACCATTAATTTGATTTCGCTATCCGTAACGTTAACACCAATAGCTTGAGTTATGAAACGCAACTCATCGACTGATATATATCCATGTCCATTTCTATCCATGCTGTTGAACAGCATTTTGACTTGTTCAAGTGTTGTATGAGATGCGAGTTTTTCAGAAACCATACCAAAAAAACTATTCATATTTACAACACCACTTTCATCAGGATCGAGTTCGTAAAGAATGCTGGCTATTTCAGACTCCGGAATAGTGTACCCAAGAGCCGCAATGACTGTGGGAATATCACTCGTTGCTATTACGCCAGACCCATTCTGGTCATTCTGCCGCATTCCTACCTTAAAAGCGTCTAACTGATCTTTGGTCAAACGTTCCGACATTTTGCTAACCAATGGTATATGATCAGTTCGCAAACGATTAATCAAAACAGGCTTTTACTAAGCAACTTAGCCCGATTAAGCGTGCAAAATCACTAATTCAGTATCAAAATATATGATTATGTTCAATACACAATGAACAAATTCTGAACTTCGTTCTGTAGTTTATAATTTTAAATGAATTTTTAAGAGTTGAATTTTGGGATATTGATTTTTTTAAATTTTTGTCGCCAACTTTGTTTATTTTTATTTATTAAATTATGACGCCCAATTGAAATTGTCTTATATTTTTTGAAATTCAATCCTTGTAGATTTTTTTTGTCATAACGTAATACTTCTCAAAAATTATTACCACATCATGCGATTAACATAACACATAATTCATAATATTGTACTAATAATTAATTTCATAATACGAGTCGAAAGTAATTATTTTTGTGATCAATTATTTCTTTAAGGTTTGTATGGTTTTATTTTGAGGATCTTAGTCCCAACTTAGTCTCAGCAACTGTTGTTGACAGTATCCTGTGGCACAGTTGAATTTTTAAGTAAATATTTTTATTGTAGTAGCTCTATAAATTCAATATATTTTATAAAACTGATACTCCATACTATATTGTGTACTTTATTTTAATTTTGAATTTTAAATAACCCAATAATTAACATAAACCACAAGTTAGAACTTCATGTTCTATCTTCATTTATAAATAACAGTTCCTCAAACTATATGGTAAGAATAAACTTTAAGTCACTTAAGATCCAACTAACTATTATATCCTTTTCAGTGATAAACAACTTGGTCTCTTCTTCTATAAAGACCAAGTAAAGAAATTAACCAAATAAATAGTTACATTTAGATAAAGGAAAATTTTAACAAAACAATTTCAATATACTAATTCTCCTCAAAATATATAACCTACTTCTAATACTTTTTAATCAAAGTTTAAAGAGTTCGGCACAGAAGCAAACATTCTGAGTTCTCTTAAATGAAATTGAGATTCCAAACAGTTGCAGCACCGTTTCCTAGTGGAGTTAGGTTATAGGTTAGGTAATAAAACCAAGGAATAATTGAATCGACTCCATTCCATTTTTTTTCAATATATGTGCTTTCCAAAGATATATAATAAACATTTTTATAATAATTTGTCTTTTTACATTTTCCAATACTTTAAAATTAAAAACCAACTGAATAGAATATTATTTAGAATGTATCTTTTAGTATTTTTAGTATCTTTTCCAGTTAGTACTTATTAAATTTGATAAACTAAAGTACAAAGCGATTATCCGCAATCATTTATTTAGAATTTATATCTTTGACTAATAATTTTATCCACAATGTTTACTCTTCATTAAACACATATCATCGCAAATCTGCAAACAAATGCCTTCATGGACAAACAGTACTGAAAACTGGATGTGGGATATGAGCAAAAATAGCTGAGTCGGCACAATTGTAACAGAGACTGAATATCCGAGGTGATTTGTTCAAGACAATGCGAAAGATTGACGATGCACATAAATTTATTACAAAATAGATGAGCTTAGAGCATTCATTAAGTACGAACAAAGCAGTAAGTGAACATATATATAGATATATTGTATATTAAATAGGTGAAAATGAGTAGTATCTTAATGCAATGAATCTATAATTTACTCATGTAATATTTATAACTAAAAGGCTCAAACATATTAGAGACCTTATTCTATATATTAGTTGTAACACTATATTTACAGAATTTTCTGTAGTTGAACCATTAAAATAGGTTAAAGCTCATGTAGTCCCTGCTTTTGATACCTTTAATATTCTCAACATGAAAAATAAGATATGTGATTAAAATATGTTTAGAATGAACAAGGGAACGTGTAAGTTTTTATAAATTGAAGGTGCCACTATAAGTATTATAATTTTCCCACTTTATATTTTAGTTTTATATTCCTTGAGCCAACAGAATTAAACCAATTTTGACGTAGCTACATATATGTGTTCTATCATCTTTTAATGTAAGTAAAAAAAAACATATTTCATTTTCAGCAATTATCGAGATATGAAGATCTCAGTAAATATTGACATTATGTACGTACAATGGGGCGTTAATAATATTTAGGAGAATTCTATTAGATTGAATGAATGAATTTAGTTGAAATAATTTTGAATTACAAAAAGTGTTATTTGGTGGCGTCCCCTCGCCCCTATCTTCCTGGCTATGTTCATACGAAATACATTCTATTAAAAAATAATGGGTTTTCTTAAGTTCTTCGTTTTTATAGCATTTTTTTATTATTGCATATTAAAATAAAAAGTAAAATGTACAAGTTATTATATTTCTTTCTGGAAAAGTAAAAGATAAATAATAATAATTATTTCTACATTAAATTTAAGTAAGGTTTTAGGTTAGCCAATTAACACTGACTCTAAGGTTCAATTTTAACAGGGTACGAGTTAAACCCTTGGTACATGCAGCATCAAAAAATTAGGTATAATTCAGGTATAAATAATTATAAGAAATAACTTCAAGACAGTTGATAATAGTTATTTTGCAATACTCGAAACAGCTGTATGATCAGCTAAAAATTCAATTAATTTAAATAAACATTTTTTGTTACAATTCATTACTGTTCGAAAACTCTCTATAAAAAATATTTCTGAAATACCAAGTGTATTATTTTAAATACAAAAAAAATTGCATTATCTTAAAAATTACATATTTTTTACCAAACAAACCGAAAAAACTTACGCATACACCTGGCAAACAGAATAGTATTAAAACTTAGCAATTAAAAACAAATAATATAATTAATTAATTCAGTTATTCTATAGTTGGTTTATGATTTCGATCTAATATAAACACAGCACGTGAATTTGTTAATAAAACTTTCACAGCAAATTAACAAAAACTCCAGAAAAATGTGCGAACATAAAAGTCAAATACTGCTTTGGGTCAATTGGTTAAGGAGTGCTGACTCTAAGCGTCAAATTTGGCAGGGCACGAGTTCGATTCCTGGTACTTGCAGTCACAAAAAAAATTATTCACGAAAATTATTTGCAAGACCACTGATGATAAGTATTTGGCAATACTGAAAACAACTGTATGGTCAGCCAAAAATTTAATTAGTTAAAATAATATAAAAATGAATTTTTGTTCTTGTAGTTCACTTCTGTTCGGAAAAAACCTCTTGAATCAATAACTGTTATGATCCCCGGTTAGCTCAACTAAAGGTGAAATTTTATGAACACATTTTGCATAGTAAAGAAGTGCAATACATTGTGTTAGGGTTTTGCTTAAGTTGTCCCACTGTGCGTGCATTCCGACCAAAATACAATTTTCGCAGTAATCTGACAGGGTGTGAAAGGTAAATGACAGCGGCAAACTGTCCATGAAACATAATGGAAAAATACACAATATTTGTTAAACAGAAAAATTATTTTGCAGCATAAATAAATTTCATACATTTTTCAAAACGTAGTTAACAACGTTTTACGAAACACGCAATAAGCGTTACGTAGATCACGTAACGTGAACTTCCTTGAGATGAAATTGAAACGCAATTTTAAAGATACAAAATTGTTTTGTCGGAAAAATTAATGTTAATTTAAAATAAATTCTATTCTAAACACAACAATTTCGCATTGTTTTTTTCATTGTGGTTGGTGTTGTTGCTGTTGTTGTTGTTGTTGTGCGCTCTTTTCCTGAAATTAAAACCACAATTAAGTCCCTTTAAGTGCTGAGTTAATTACTAAGGGAAAAATAAAAGCGAAGCTGTACACGTACACAAACAACAACAGGAGCGACGCGCATTGCATAGGGAATATAGCAGAACAAATTAAGGATGCCCTAGTTGAGCTTAACAGCAATAATAATAACACAATACTTACACACCCACACACATACAAACATACAACCACATGCCCTAACCACATTCAGACACAAATGTACTGATATGTTAGTGTTTGAGTGTTGAATAGTGTTGAGCAGTGCTGAAGGTCAGCGGAGCAAGCGACCAACTGGGAAGCTGTGATAAAAGGCAACAACAATTTCAACCAAACCAATAAGTCAACAACAACAACAAAACACCAATACTGACACCAATAACAGCAGCAGTAACAGTAATAAAAACTCCATTGTCGAAGTAGTACAACAAGTTTAGTAATCGTTATGCATGCAGCATATCGCACACCTTCCCACACATTCCCACTCATTCCCACATTCCCTTTCACAAACTTTCACGTTTATTTAGGTAAATAAACACTAACAACAAAAACTAACACAACAACAACAGCAGAAACAAAATGCAAAATTAATAGGAATAACCATTGAAACCAAAAACCAAAAACCAAAGCCAAAGCCAAAGCCAAAATCAAATCAAACCAAAAGCAGAGTCGCAAATAAAAAAACTGCTGCTGCTGCTACACATGGTGAAACCCGTTCTTCGCACCCGCAACTCCCACGCCAATGAATGAGTCCTTTCCTTTTTCTTGGGCAATTCGAGTTTGGGGTTGTATCGCATGCAGCGCGAAGCCGGCAATTAATTTGTGTGTGTGCGGTGGTGCGGCCGTGCGTTTGTGTAAATTGAGTCAATAGACGAAGTGCAAAGCACAAAATTAGTGTAATAAATTTGCCTAATTCCTGAAATTGAGCAATGCACAGGCTCAGCTGTCGCCGATAGTGTGTCACACAACACACAAATACGAAAATAATTTTATAAGCTCCATTTCTTTCATTCTTCCCATGCCAATTATGTACCAGTGGGCACGCCAGTGTGGGCCATGTGGGTATGTTCAATGCATGCGGAATATTAAGCCATTAAAATGTAACTGCAAGAATAGGGGAATATAGAAAGTTACTCATTTAACATTTTTACTAAATCGACTAATTATTTTTTATATTATTATCCCTATTATATATTATATTATATATATTTTTATGTTATTATATTATAAGTATGAGTATCGTTCAAATCCCTCACCGATCAATTTAAAGTTTTTATATTATATTATATTGTTTATAAAGAGGATTTTTCGAACAGTTGTAAATTACAAGAACAAAAATTTATTTTATATTATTTTAAATAATTGAATTTTTGGCTAACCATACAGCTGTTTCGAATACTGCCAAATACCCGTCATCAGTGATCTTGGAAATAGTTTTTGTATTTAACTATTCGTAAATAATTTTTTTAACATTGCAAGTACCAAGATTAAAACTCGTGCCCTGCCAAATTTCAAGCTCAGAGTCAGCGCTCCTTAACCAACTGATCCAACTGAGCCGTACTTAACAAATTCACTTGCTGTGTTTATATTAGAACGAAATCATAAACCAGCTATTGTTTATCTTATTATACCCATACATTTTCGTCTACACACTGACCCAATTGAACTCTTCAAAGAAGGCAGCTATAATGTGAACCTGCAGAATTAAACAAAAACTGGCTTTATTGAACACATCAAAACTCTGGTTCATGTTAACGTCAGATGACTGTGAAGCCTAAACTGCGATGGTGATGAAGTGGGGTATATTATCCCTCAGACATGGTGAATGATGAGTGCTTTGTGAAACAGTGAAAATTTTTGGCAACAATCTCCGAAATAATGGTTTTAAATATTTTTTAATCCGGCTATAGGTAGGTACGTACGTTTTTGTTAGTAATTCATTATCTTCGTAGATCGTAATCCTGATGATGGCTCTCAAGCAGAGTCGAAATATAGAGTATAACAAATATAGAGTATAATAAAATATTACACTTTAAATTATTTAACCTATAGCCGGATTAAAAATATATAAAAACCATTATAAAAAAACCGAAATATTTTTATGATGGACATTCCCATAGTCTTCAAGCCGTGGTCGAATAACAGCAATGGAAAGCAATCATTAAATACCACGTCAGCGCAAATCATCACAAATGGACACACTTGACATTTTAAGATCATTTGAAATCGTTGCATGGTTGTTCTTTTATGATGCAATGACTTGCAAAAAGAGGCCGCTCAAACTTCGCCGACCTATCAAAATCATATTGCAACGTAATATTAAAAAAAATATATTTAAACTGAGCAATTAAGGATTTCAAAATAATATATCAAAATAAAAAGTTAATATATTTAAAAAAAAAGCTTAAACATAAAATAATTCAAAATCTATACCCTAATCCCGATATCAAAATTACGACAGTATATCATCTATTCGAATAATACAAAATTCTGGCAGCGTTTTCTCTTAGTTCTTTTTGTAATTAGAACTATAGCGCTTGCACTTTTCCTTAATTATAAACTTTAGACTGAAATATGGATTTACTAACTAACATCGATGATTTGGAAGAACACCAATTTGAAGAGGAAGAGCTTGCCGGTTACATCGAACAGTTTAAATTAATAGATGAAAAAGAAACTGGCCAAATAAGAACTAGTTCACTGCAAGAACTGTTTCTTGCTGTCAAATTGAAAATTCCTATTCCTCATGTGAAGATAATGATAGAAAAAGTCGAAGTCCTTGGTCATGTATACATAAGCTGCGACACCTTCCTAAGGCTTTTATGGCTTAGAGTCAAAATGAATAACAGGGCGGCGGAGGTCAAAGAAGCTTTTCGTTATTTCGACGTGGAGGAAAGTGGTTATATGCCTGTTGCTCAGTTACGAGATATTATGATGACTTATGGCGAACCCCTAACTGAAGAAGAGCTAATAGATATGATGAGATTTGCTGATTTCTTTGGCGATGGCATGGTCGACTACAATAATTTCGTTAACATGATGGTTTATCATTAAATGAAATTAGTCACTTAAAATTGAACCTTTACCAAAAATTGATTCTAAATTATTATGAAGTAGAAAAAACTCTATTTTTATTTTACTTTTTATAAGCACATTCTAAATCAAATAAAAGTACATAATACAGTATAAGGATTAAGAAAAATTGTTTGGATTTTTTTTATAATTCATATTTAACGAATTGATTGATTATTCACTTCTCATTAAATTTAAAAGAATATTTTCTCCACTTAATTGCGAAAATTAAGTGGAGATCATGTCGTGCGAATGGAAGAAAGTGCAGAAAGGTATTTGATTCGGTAGCAGATGGAAAACGCGGTAGAGGACGTCTGCATCTTCGGTGGAAGGACCAGGTGACCAATGATTTGGGGACGCTCGGTACTACCAACTGGCTTCAGAAAGCAACTAATCGGGCTGACTGGCGGAGGCTACTCGACGCGGCCAAGGACGACACACGTCTGTAATGGCCCACTAAAAAAAAAAAAAAAAAAATTGCGAAAATTATCTTTATTAAGTAACTTTAGTCGAAAGCTCGTTGAAAAACTTTCGTAGTGAAGTTAACCACTAACACACACTATTTTGATATGATGGAAAAATATCCATATTTCATGGAAAATCAACTGAACTTGTAAACATTACTGTAATTTCAATAAATTAACACATCGAAATGGAAAACAAAAGCTACGAAAAACTGAGTTTCACGATAGCTCAGAAGCATAAATGCTCATTAAAACTTTTGTACTTGCCAGGATGAAACTATTACGGACTCGAATCTGTGCAGTTCACAACAGTCACACTCATGTGTGTGTATTCACATCCACGAGAGTTTTGGGTACGAAAGGTATCCATCTACGTATTAGAAAGAATAACAAAGTTTTTCCACATTGCGGTTCCAGAAGCAGTTTTGGTCTGAAAATGAAACCAACAAAAATGTTCCAAAGTATTTTCATTAATTTTGAACAAAAATTATGCAGAGGACGTAAACCACAACATCGGGAGCAAAAAAATAACAAGTTTTAACCTTTGTACTACTGACTATGAAATTTTCATTTGAATTCATATAAATCAAAACGCTTTCCATCTCACTGACTGTAGGACTGTATTCCTTCCTTCTAACGCGTGAATAACTTGGAGCTTGGTCGACATACATGTACACTACTCGATGGCAAGAGACTGAGTTTAGTTCTAGTTGTAACCATCTCTCGTATAGTTTTTAATAGGTACAATGACCTTAAAGAGAATATAAGTGATTAATCATAGTTATTATTTTTTTAAAAAGTAATTGTAAAGCTTATCACTTATCGGAAAGACTTATCACTTATTCTGTGTAACGACAGAAGAATTTATTTAAGCTACTATCACCAACAGAAAAAAAAATTCTACTACTTCTTAATAAAACCATAAGGGTTACTATATCGGCAATTCTATAGAGTATTTTTTTAGAGGTAATGGATAACAAATTTAAAAGAAACTGAGCAAACCATTTTGGTTTATTGGCTACTACGGAAATATAGGAGTGCAACCGAGAGCTCCAGTTTCCCTCAACAAGTTTAAATATTTAGAGCTGGATACTTATTTAGTATTTCTGAAAGTACATTGGTAGTTAATGGATCATCTTTCACTCCTTGTGAATAATGAAACGCAACAAATCGTGTTTGCAAAGTACAAAATTGATAAACACTGAACCTGAAAATGATGTCTGTGACTGCAAGTAGAACATTTATACACTCACTACCATTTATGGTCCAAACAGATAAGCGCAGTCTCAGCAACAGTCCATCAACCATACTTGTTTAGTATTTCTGAAAGTACATTGGTAGTTAATGGATCATCTTTCACTCCTTGTGAATAGAGCACTCGTGTTTGCAAAGTACAAAATTGATAAACACTGAACCTGAAAATGATGCTGTGACTGACACTTTAAAATGTTTATGTATCAGTGATTAGGGAATCTAATGATAAGAGTATTGAGATTTTATAAATTTAAGTACACTCTAGAACCAGCTGATTTAGTCTTCGCATAAAAAGTATTTAGCGGGTTTGAAATGCGATTAATGGATTTAATGTTTAGAGTCAATGGTTGAGCTCAAGCACTAGCTGATTAAGTCTCCACATTCGCGTCTTCAGACAGGATTTTCAAAACCATTATGATTTCGTTCATGGTTTAGTCTCATTATACTTAAAACTCGGACAATCCATTACTGAAGCGGTTCAGAACTACTTTGTAGCACAGCATTTGAGGTATTTAAATTTAAAGAGATTTTTAAGATAGTATAAAATTGTCAGATATAAGCTTCACATTTCATGTTCTCGTTTATCTGAATGATCATTTTATGTCTCTTAGTTCGAACCAATGTTTGAATACAGTCTGGTTCGGGGTTACGTTGGATATGTTAAAATCCTTTAGTCAAAATTGTCATTTTAATTTTCAGAAATGAATAATATTGCCAAAACTGAACACTTGACAATATTAAAAATTTTTTTTTTAGTCATTTTCCGGTTCAGCAAACTTGATGTAATGCCAAATTTGTAGCACAGCAGCCGGTGTTTCTACGACTACAACTTTGACAGACCGCAGATTGACTTGGGTTTCGGTTGTGAGTTGTGGCCGGATATGCAAATTAAATTAAATTTTTTAATCTTTCATTTAATGATAATTAAAAGAAATTACTTTTAAAATGGAATTATTAAATATTTATTTAACCGTTCATTTGCCGTGTTTAACATGTTGTGTTTGAGCATTAAAATAATGTACAAGGATATGTACAAGGATAAACCTTGCCAACTCAATCGTCCTTTGATATCATTCAATTAAGTGCCTCGAAATTTGTTCTGCGACGCATTTTGCGGATTAAAGTATTAAGTGCGAATTACTTAAATGCGTTATTAAAATTCAGAAACAAATAGGTATTTTATGTAAGATAAATGTCAGAGCGTGTAATAATGGACACCGTCAGTTCAACGCACACGCAGGATATAAATTTTTTACCAATGTCATTTGGATCAATTATGGAAATTTGACATATCCTTGTGAAACAATTTATTGGCTGACCTTGTGCAATTCCAACAAAATATTGCGTAAAATATTCGTCCATTTCATATTGTATCATCATGTCCTTTTCATTTTATAAATATTTTTTACGAATTTTCGAAATGATTGCACATAAAAACTGAATAAAATGAATGAATTATTGATGCACGAACCTGGTACCTGGTATTCCATGTTTATTTTTTTTGTATGCAGTATTGAACTGGAAGCTAGATAATCAAAAGTATTTAACATGTTAATTTTTTTTCTAGCTAACATAAAAATTTTAACTAAAAACACCGTTAATTGTCGCGGTTTATCTACATTTTAAACTAAACGTCTTCAACTGAAGCCAGTCCTCAACGAAACGTCTGCCAGCAGTGACCTTCATAGGACTGCTCACAGATTTAAGATTCAGAAATTTGAAATTTAATTTCTAATTAGAATTATTTCGAATCTTCTCATTGCTCTCCGCCAGCCTTGATTAATTAATCCCATTTCTGGCAATTATTTCATTTCATTTTAAAATTTCATCGAGTACTTGAGTTTAGATTTTAATTAAGTTGCGGCAATAAATCAAGACGATTTCAAACTCCCCAAAATCAATACACACACATACACACACATTTCAAACTTTTGGTTGGCAATTCCAAAATTGACTAGAAGAAGCTTATTCCGGTTTCCCGGAGTTGTTGTTTTTGTCGGGTATTTCATTTCCTTTCCGGTTCATTTGTTGATATCGATTTCCTGTGTTTACTTAGTCGTGCTTCATTAGTGATTACACGTTTTGACTGAATTACAACGTGCAGCATTACGATTTCTAATTTTCTACGAAAATGATAAAGTTTCGATGGTACAGCCTTTGCCCGCCTACTACACACTGGCTCATGGCCTCATTCGAATTCATGCCGCAAATACTTCACTTGCAATCACAAATTTGCTGCATTGATCCCGTCTTCTTCTGCTTCTGTGTTTAATTGCACGCGTCCGACCTATTATCGGGAGGATTTTTCTGATGTGGCTACTGTGGTCAGCACTTGTCTCCATTCAGCATTCAAATACTCGTAGTATATTTTTGGGAACACATATTGTCAGGATTATGGGCTGTACATTAAGTGGTTAAATGTTTAACAGACTTACCAGAATATTTTGATTTTAATTGCGATTTTGCGGTTGATGCTGTGCAGCTTCAATCGAACTGAAAAAAAATAAAAATAAAAATAAATATATATAAATTCTCAGTATAGAATGTATGTAAATGATAGTATTCTAATCAGGTTATCCAATTTAAATGACATAATACTTGATCAGTTAAAAATTCATCAGCCCTCATTCTTGTATTTAAAAAAAATACAGACTTATATCTCTATTCTCTATAGGTAAAATACTATTAACCTATCAAAATGTTTTGTTCTAAATATATATAAAAAAATCTATGAAATATTTAGAGAACTGTTTGTAGGTAAATGTATCTGAAGTGGTACATCACTCCTCGAAGTCTGTCTCTATTTCAATTTACTTTACTAGTTCAGGGTGAGCCCTTTCGAAAAATTTCGAAACCATTTTCTGTAATTATGAAATTTATTTCTACTTTAAACCTTTTGGGTTCAGATCATCCATATGTGCAGACTCCATTAGTAGGTGTTCGAAGGCTCACTTCGCTCACTTCGCTCACTTCGATGCGTTATATGTACCAATCATGTTACCATTATTTCAACGTTAGAAGTGAAATCGATTCATTTTAGATTGAAAGCTCTTTACAATTGTTAATGCAATTCTAGAGAAATGTTTAAGTATTCGCACTATTAAGTACAGAGCAAAGAAGTGGCAATAATGTGCCGTCATACGATATGAGAAACTTCAAGAACTAAATACTGAAGCACTAGAAATGAATTCGATCCTCTCTATACTGAAAGTTCTTTACATTTATTTATGAACTTCTTGAGAAGTGTGGAATACATGTATCTTC